GCATCCCGCTAACCCATTATTAAATATACAGATATATCTCGTAAAATATAAACACTTCCCTATCGACACGCCAAGTTCAAACTCCATACTATAAACATTGTTCACTCATGTAAACAGTTGCAGGGTATTTATTGTTATTTTCAATCAAGTTATTAAAGTTAACATTTGACGTGGAACATTATAACGGCGATATTGTTTTAGTAATTTGACGGGTGTTGCTTACTGCGAAATAACGCATTTATGGATTTTCCTTTTCCACTCATTCTACGAGTGTCGTCGCCATAATTAACACACTTTGGTTTTAACGTTATAGTACTCCTTTGTGTTGCCATATCTTTGGTAGTGGTAATATCGGGAGATATGAAGCAGTACATATTGTCATGGACATTGCATTGACATTGAAGATTTCTTTTAAATTGTCAATGGCATTTTATTTCTATCACATATAAAGGCATTGTGCTTATTTTTTTTCCTAAATCGAGTCGAAATTTTATTCATATTAGCATTAGTAACAAAGGAAACATTTTTCCTATAGTATATACTTCCAAACATTCCAAAGATAGTCATCGACTTAGGACTATTTGGCAATAATTAATCGCTACAACTGCAATTTATGATTGATGTGATGTAGATACGTGAATAGTCTATTCATCAATTTTATACACCCACTCAGATGCTTAATAATCTTTTTTCCAATATTTTATCGTGTTAGGAAGTGTAAACATATTTTTCTTCTTGAAACTAGTAGTACGATCGTCGTTGAGAAGACTCATAAATTCATAGTTAAACAGACAAAGTAAAACCCGAAACTGTTTACTTTATAACCCACAATAATATCATTTAGCGGTATAAACATGTATTTCTGCAAGTATGTTGATATAGGTCATGCTACGATTGTATACTGGCTTGTCGCATCCTTCTTTTCAGAATTAAATAAGTTATTCGACCAACAATAGCACTTATCTTTTATCTCGCTTCAGTGTCTTAACAGCCACTTTTCTCAACATTCATAAAAATAAAATGATTTATGTATATTCATATAATAATCTAACTATTTGGTTGATTGATAATTTTATCGGTATATGCCACCTCATCGTTCAATACTCCATTAATATTTTAAGAGAAATTTTGAAGTTACTTCAATACACCAGGATCGATACACCTGATCTCAAAATTCTTTTATTAGCTATACACTAGTGGTGGAACGAATATCCGGCAACTATCCAGCCATTTTCTAAAATTCGGCTGGATACCGGATAGTTACCAAATATCCGGCTTTGACCGAATATTAAAAATCTATTAGTACTCCGCCATGCACAGGAATTAGTATCTCTTTTAGGTGTTGGACACTGCAGATAATAATCAAGTTCAACCCCAATAGGACTTTTTTCATTGAATACAACTTTATTTATCATTAGCAACCTCACTGTAACCATCCCAATAGGATATATAAAATCTCTTGTTACAGTTTCGTCTAGTTTCTTCTCTTCGCTTGTAATTCATCATTACATTCATTACTAACAGAACTGTCGCTGTTATCACTTTCGATTATTAATTAAAGTATCCTCTTTTTAATGCAAAAAGCCGTTTTGAAAAATCACTTCCAGTTCTTGAGAAATAAATTTTTGAAATGATCGATAATTTTTCGAATTTTGCAATTTTCGCCGATTAAGTTTTAAAAATTCGTATAAAATCCATTTCTTGGAATGTGAGTATGAAAATTTTCCAAAGTGTTAATAAAAGTGCCCTCTTTCCTATGAACCAACTCGTTTTGAAAAATAACTTTTAGTTTTTGAGAAAGCAATATTTGAAGTTTTGATAAAATTCTCGATGTTCCAATTTTCATCGATAACCTTTAAAATTCGCTATAAAATTAATTTCTTGAAGGATAGTTGTGGAAATATCACCAATTATTAATTAAAGTATCCTATTTTTAATGCAAAAAGCCGTTTTGAAAAATCACTTTTAGTTCTTGAGAAATAAATTTTCGAAATAATCGACAATTTTTTCGAATTTTGCAATTTTCGCCGATTAAGTTTTAAAAATTCGTATAAAATCCAGTTCTTGGAATATGAGTATGAAAATTTCCCAAAGTGTAAATAAGAGTGTCCTCTTTCCAATGAACCAACCCGTTTTGAAAAATAACTTTTAGTTTTTGAGAAAACAATACTTGAAGTTTTGATAAAATTTTCGATGTTCCAATTTTCATTAATAACCTTTAAAATTCGCTATAAAATTCATTTCTTGAAGGAATCTTGTGGAAATATCACCACTTATTAATTAAAGTAACCTCTTTTTAATGCAAAAAGCCGTTTTGAAAAATCACTTTTAGTTCTTGAGAAATAAATTTTTGAAATAATCGACAATTTTTTCGAATTTTGCAATTTTCGCCGATTAAGTTTTAAAAATTCGTATAAAATCCATTTCTTGGAATATGAGTATGAAAATTTCCCAAAGTGTTAATAAAAGTGTCCTCTTTCCAATGAACCAACCCGTTTTGAAAAATAACTTTTAGTTTTTGAGAAAACAATATTTGAAGTTTTGATAAAATTTTCGATGTTGCAATTTTCATCGATAATTTTCAAAATTCGCTATAAAATTAATTTCTTGAAGGATCCTTGTGGAAATATCACCAATTATTAATTAAAGTATCCTCTTTTTAATGCAAAAAGCCGTTTTGAAAAATCACTTTTAGTTCTTGAGAAATAAATTTTTGAAATAATCGACAATTTTTTCGAATTTTGCAATTTTCGCCGATTAAGATTTAAACATTCGTATAAAATCCACTTCTTGGAATATGAGTATGAAAATTTCCCAAAATGTTAATAAAAGTGTCTTCTTTCCAATGAACCAACACATTTTGAAAAATAACTTTTAGTTTTTGAGAAAACAATATGAAGTTTCCTTGTGAAAATATCGCCAATTAATAATTAAAGTATCCTCTTTTTAGAGTTGCTTCGTTAGTTAAATCAGCATCAAAAAAGTTCATTTTGTATCTTGGATGCAAATAAGTTGACATATCTTATCAGCTTTCTTATTAATTTCTTATTTATTCAAATATCGCAATAATGTGGAAATGTAGAGTATCACTTCCGAAATGCACCAGAAATTATAACCATAATTGCCGGATAGATATGCCGGTTCCATCACTACTATACACGTCATCAAAATGTTTTGGGCGAAATCAATGGAACCATTTAAATCTTGCGCTGCAATTTTTATTTGCAGCTTTTAATGGCTCATCTAATTATATTCTCGATATTTTAAAATATGTATTGAGCTTTCCGAGTTAATAAATTCAATTTCGATAGTATAAGCCAAAATACCAAAATCTAAATAAAATCTTAGAGATAATGTTTAAATGAGTATTTGATACATTGTAGTTCTCTATGTAACTCTCCTTGTTGGTGTTTGAAATTGATTCAGTTGAAAATCACGATAACATACACGAAATCCTGTCCGATATTTGGGAATGGATCAATTCTGATGCCTGGTGCTAAACTATTGCCCCCGCAGGCTAACTGTTCTCGGATAACAAAACATAATTTCACATTGTTCAACCTCCAATGCATTAGATGAACAATATTTGTCTAAACACTTCAGGGAATTAGGATTCATTGAAAAATTATCATTAAATACTATTATAGATAAATACTCTATATAGAAAGCTGAATCATATCTGATATTTTATTTATACATAAAAGTATATGATTTAAAACCAAAACATTTCTTACAAGAACTTGTTGAAGAGAACTGGTTTGCTACATACAACCATTGGAAGCACCCTACAAACATAAATACCAATTACCAGTAAACGTTTCACAATCCTATTTTAAGACCGTAAATCATCTACGAGTATACACGCATGCTAATTGCTAATTGGCGATGTTTTATTGCTAGATTTCTCTCATTAGATACGAGAAACTGTCCTATTCATAAAGAAAAGAAAAGTTCGGTGACGAGATATTCTAAACTATAAAATATGTGCATGCTATATTAGAATAATAAATATTGTCAATATGGTGTGGGTAGTGAATTATTCATCACAAGATTTATACGGTATTTATAGTGAGTTAAGATATGTAATGTCTAACAATTTTTATTAAGCTTGAACTATACTTACGAACAATTTAACGTTGTGTAACATGTTTTTTGTATGTTTCTACGACATGTTCCGCTGATGATTAACAGTAATTATGGAAATGATGAACGAACCTTGTCACAATTTTTTTTTTAAATTACACCTCAAAAAGCCGCACTAATTATTTATTGATACTACTTTTCATTTGATCAATAATTATATAATCAGTTTCAAGTACAATTATAATTTAAAAAAATTATAAACACCATAAATAATTTGGAAGAATTTCACCTGTAATCGATTAGTTAGAAGAAAACAGAGAACTACAATTGGCTAAACAATACGACACCCTCAATCATTTCGCAATTTGGTACGCCCCGTGATTTAAGTGAGGCTCTCCACGGGAAAATAGCCCCGAAAATGACTGTTATTTGGGCAATTATCTCATAATCTCACCTGTAATATGTATCATTATCCCGAATCCATTGGATATGGTATTTATATTGCGCTATCCCGGTTTAATTAGGAATAATGATCATGCCCCCAACCGCAATCAGAACTATGTCATGGCTTCGGATGATTGACGGTGTGATATCGAGTAATGATACATAGTGATCGCGTGTACATAATTTGTTTTATAGTGTATTAGATCTGGTTAATAAACCAGAAGGAATTTTCAAAAATTATCTAGAAAATTGTGCAATATTGTCTTCATTTGCATTTCAGTGAAAGTCATCATGAAATTGTTAAATTCTCCTTATTATGTATTAAAAGATAATTATATTGTATGTAATGTCTTTCAATATCCAATCGTATTAAATTAACATTACATTAACATTAAAAGACTTAATTAAAATATTAACTTAAAAAATTAAATCTAAAAGAAATTAATTAATTGTTTTCTTTTATTTATTTATAGGTAAGTGAAGAAATTTAATTGTCTGAGGGAGAACGCGCACTCAAATTGACGCCTTCATGATACTAGACAAGATGTCATACCGAAGTGTCTCATCCCTTCCGTCTGGAGACTACAACGTATCATGGGTAAGAAAAAACAAACATTTAAAATGTCAAGAATGTTAAAAAACTAAAAATTATAAAGATACCGAGATTTCCGAGAAAAATCGATTTAATACCAGTAAAGTTCCTCTACCCACCGCATTCGCTGCTTAGCGCTAAACGGATGCTGAATGGACCACTTCAGTAGCTTTAAGCAGTTCGACTTTTCTCCGTTAGATGGCGGTACATATTCTATCTTATATTATAAGTACATATCTTTTTAAAACTCAAAATTTTATGTTGAGTTGGTTTTCATTATATTTTTTTTTACATTTTTGCTTTTCAGTAAAAAAACAGTTTACAGTTTTCTTTTATCTAATTCAGATTCACTGACGCTGTAATTATTACATTTGTGTTCATGATTTCTACATTCTCTTTAGTAGCCCAATCTGCTCATTTACATCGATAAAGTAATTAACTCGTAATATTAAAATAATTCCTATTGTGGCTTAAATGCTTTCAAATCCGGTTCAGTACTTAAATAAAGTAAACTATACATAACTAATGTTAAAGTTGGAAAGCCGCTTCAAAATAGATTACTTTCTATTACATTTTTTGTTACAAATCTATCTCTTTACACAATAAAGCAAAAACTTTAAATCGGACCTCTTTGTTAATATGTTTTTGATTTTCTGTTTACATATTTAAATTTTAGTTTTGGACACCGATTTGTATTCGTAAATGATTCGCACAGCGTCTTATTATATACATATACTTATTATAGTACAGTAAAATCTCGATATAACGGATCTCGTTAGAACGTACTTCGGATGTGTATGTATGTAGTTTCACGTGGGTTACTCACAGCACTTAGGCCCCAGCGGACCCTTTGTACGTCCCCACAATTTACTGTTCATTCAAGGATCAGAAAACCAGCCCAATCCTTTCATGAACGTTAATATAGAACAGAAAGGTATGTTCCTTATATCCGAAATTTGGAGCCATGGTACTCCGAAAATAGATTCCCTTAAGTACACGAGGTTTGGACAGTCACAAACAATATGACTTACCGTCTCGTCTTCCATTTCACACCCTCTACAGAGGGGTGTATTCGCCAGCTTCATGTAAAACATGTGCTTACGTAACCTGCAGTGTCCGGTCAGGAAGTGGGTGAGAAGCCTCAAGTCACTTTTCGATTTTCCCAGAAACTTAGCAAAGGCACCTACTGCTGTCCCATCCCATCTATCGCAAAAAGCTCGGTGGGAGATGTAGTTTATCAGTTTTGATGCTGTATTAACAGCTAGTGGTACAAACGGTTCAGGGGAGATCGGTGACTTGTTAGCCGCCCGTTTCGCTAACCTGTCCGCATGATCATGTCCTTTAATTCCGATGTGTCCTTTTCGCCATTTTATCTTGACGTTGTTGTATACGTTTGCCTCTTCGAGTGATTGCCGACAGGACTTCACCAACGATGATGCAGTATGATGCCTTCCAACCGCCAGCATAGCCTGTCTGCTATCAGTACAGATTACAACGTTTCTGCCGACTTTTTTGGAGTCGATAATCGCATCGGCTGCTATGTTTATAGCAATTAATTCGGCTTTAGCAGTCGTGCAATACGATCCTAACGAAGTGGAAAGGTGCAGCTGGAGATCGTGCGAGAAGATTCCCGCTCCGGAACCTCCAGCCTTCTTTGATCCATCAGTGTAGATGGTCAGCGTTTTGCCCGAGCTTGAGTTGCTCTGGGGTATCGTTTCAATGCCAAAGTGTGGCTTGCCTAAGAAAGTAGGTGTAATGTAGTCTGTGCGAGCTTTAAGGAGGGGTTGTTTACTAACAGCCTCACTCCAGAGCTTGCTCCGGACTATTCCCATTTTAACAACCTGCTTTTCATTTACTGATCGCAACCGAAGCAATGCCATCACGGCCACCTCCCTGATAAAAATATCTAGGGGCAGTACATTTAACATAGTCTCCATTGCAATCGTAGGTGTAGATCTCATAGCGCCTGTGATTAGCAGGCAGGCCAGTCGTTGCAATTGATGCAGCAATGTAGCTTTATATGCATGTTTTAGTGCTGAGCACCAGACTATGGCTCCGTGAGCTACCATGGGTCTTATCACAGAAGTGTAGATCCACATTGTAACTTTCGGATTTAATCCCCAAGTATTCCCAATAGCCCTTCGGCACTGGGTCAGTACAATCGTTGCTTTTTTGGTTTTGCAACTAATGTGTGATGTCCAAGTTAGTCCTTTGTCCAAGATAACACCCAGATATTTCACCTCTGGAGCAAAGGTTAATGGATTATTGCAGAAATTGGGTGGCGTTAAGTGTCCCAGTTTCTTCTGTTTAGTGAAGAGAACAGTCTCTGTCTTTTTAGGATTGACAGAGAGGGTATGTTCTTCACACCATCGTTCAACGAGTTTAAGTGCCTGCTGCATTCTGTAACAGAGAAAATTGTCAGGTTTACCTCTTAACAAGATAGCCACGTCGTCTGCGTAACCAACTGTGAAGAAATATTTATTATTTAACTCACGAATGAGATCATCCTTGTGGGCAACCCTTAACCACAGCTCTCTGTACTGTGTGTCCTTTCGCCTTAGTCTGAACAACTCTGCTTGCTAGCATTGTTTTAATTCCAGTGCCAGGTTAATGCTACTAAAGGTGGTTTTGTCAAACGCTCCCTCTATGTAAAGGAAAGTTCCCAGAATGGACTCTTTCGAATCAAATGCTTGTTCGATGCGCCCCACTACCATGTGTAGGGCGCTATCCACAGATTTACCTTTGATATATGCATGTTGGTTGAAATGCAAAGGAAACGCTTTAAGTACATTCTCTCTAATGTAATGTTCACATAGTCTTTCAAGCGTCTTTAAAAGAAATGACTAATAAAAAATGAGACTAATTGGTCGAAAGGCTTTAGGATCCGTTGGGTCCTTTTTTCCATTCTTTGGTATAAAGGTTACTGTAACCTTCCTCCAGCTGATGGGAACGTAGTTAAAGGCTAAGCAGGCCTTAAAAACTCTCATCAAGTGTATTTTCATATCCTCTAGACTCCATTGAAGAAGAGCAGGAAATATACCGTCGGGTCCGGGTGTTTTGAAGGGCTCAAAACTGCCGACGGCCCACTCTACCAACTCATTCCTTACAACCTGGTTAGCTATCTGCCAGTCCTGGCTGCTAGGAGAGTTGTTAAATTCCACTTGGTGTAGAAGCATTGAAAAATCTTGCAAAGAACCTGGAAAATGAACATCCATTAATAAATGCAACGATTCTTCTGGATCCTTGACAAAACTGCCATCAGACTTTTTTAGAATGTCATGACTGTGCTTTTGGCCGCGAGATAGTATTTTGTTTAGGCGTGAGGCCTCAGCAGCGCTCTCCACCTCTTCACAAAAACCTCTCCAGGCTTGTCGTTTCTTTTGTACTTCGGATATAACGGACAAAATAGTTTTAAGTGATTTGATTTAACGCGATTGAAGAAATTTTAACTTGGAATAATTTCCATACTAAAATTTCTTTTACGTGCAACAAGCGAAATCGCAATCTGGGAATCCCCCATATTCTCTGCGCGTGCGTCAACATGGAGTTACAGAACTCCCATATTGAAACAAAAACGAGGACGCGGTTAGAAAATCTGTTATTACTGGAACAAAATTAAGTGTTCATACAGCATCATACAAGAGATATTATAAAGCTGAGAATGGATAAAACTCTGGTAGTATGGCTGCAGGATATGTCTCAAAAACTCAAAAAATACCAATTGACGGAAATAGTATCAAGCAGATGGCATCAAGAATCTACAACCAGATTAAAGAAATGGAACCATAAACATCAACCCAGAAAAAACACAAATTTAAATTTTCTGCAAGTACGGGATGGATTTTTACAAAGAGTCGCGCTCCATTGTACAAAGATTAAGGGCGAAATTGGATCTGCAGATGATCTGGCAATTAAAGAATTTCCTGCAAAATTAGCTAAAATAATTAGAAATGTATGCAATGCGGATGCAACAGGTCTTTCCTGTAATATTATGTCAAGTAGAACATCCGTACTCAAATCCCATAAAATACCCAATTTGTTTAAAGCAGCCAAAGACCGCGTAATTTTTTTATTTTACTCTAATGGGTCAGGAGATCAGATGTTAATTGTAAATCGAGCTTCTAAAACCAGGGTCTGTAAAAGGTGTAAATATAGACACCTTACCTAACCAAACTAGACTAATAATAAGAAACCTTGGGTGACCTCTAAATCTTTTAATGAATCTCAAATATTTTGTTGCGTAAGTTCGGCGTTATATATATGAATGATAAAGGCCTTTATCCTTTACCTTAAATTTAAGGTTCTGTTGATTATAAACAACGTACCTGGTCATCCACTTATAGAGCACCCAAATGTTGAATTTTGTTTCCTTCCTCCAAATACCACTTCTTTGATACAATCATTGGACTAAGGAATTATTGCAACCTTTAAGACATATTATGTAAAGTAAACATTTCGGTACGTTTTAGATCAATGATAAAAATTTAACAGTTATAGATGCATAGAAGATATTTGTTATAAATGACTGCATCAAACATGCTGGATTAAAACCGTCAACTTTGATCACATGTTGGAGCCGTTTGGCCAGAATGTGTAAAAAGTAAAAATCATGTGCCTTCTAATACGGTTCAATATTCTAACATAATAGAGTTAAGTTATGAAATAGGCGCAAAAGGATTGAATGGTATAATGTCTGCAACTTTCGATAAATTACTATTAGTGAATAAAGCACTTTTCCGATGTCAAAAAATGCAGTGCATATTAAAAAAAGCAAATTAAGAAAGATGAATTTGCCTAGTTTAATCACATTTTTTAGCTGATTCTGACAGAACTCGGAATTTATCCTCTATTTTCATATAAATACCGTATCATTTTACGCGATTTTTTTTTACAGGACATTTTTGGGAACGTATCTGTCGCGTAAAAACAGAATTGAGTGTTTATTTAAACATAAATGTTAGCGCTCGTAAATAGATAGATAGATTAAATAGATCTCTTTATTATGT